AAAATGCGACTCACGACTCATATATATATATATATATATATATATATATATATATATATATATATATATATATATATATATATATATATATGTATATATATAGACATATATATATATATATATATATATATATATATATATATATATATATATATATATATGTATATTATATATATATATATATATATGTCTATAACGTTCTTGGTGAGGTGGCGGAGAGGGACAGACACTGGTTTCTATAAATAAATAAAATTAAAAAAAAGAAAAGAAAAAAAAAGAAAAAAATGAAATAATATAAAATAAATAAATAAAAATTATGTATGTGTGTTGTATATATTTATAAATAAATAAATAAACAAATATATCAATATATCTATTTCTATCTATCATTATATATATATATATATATATATATATATATATATATATATATATATATATATATATATATATATATATATATATATATATACATATATATATATATATATATATATATACATATATATATATATATATATATATACATATATATATATATATATATATATATATATATATATATATATATATATATATATATATATATGTACACAAATTAGAAACTAAGTGATCCTCCCACGAAAGTCCCCCACCCCTTACAACATTTTCTCTCAGAAACCCTGCACACTCAGATGATATACAATCACACATAAACCACAATGATTTGGGACTGACTACGTATTGACAATCAAGTCACACTGCCTGTAAACAACGCCTTTTTGAAAATGACGTTTTAATGCCTTCACGAAAGAATTAGAAAAAGCACCAGTATTTTGAAAAAAAATATAGCTGATTTTTATTTATAACAAATAAAAAAAAGTGTATAATACAATTTTTGAAATTCAAAAATATTGAAAAAAAACATGTTAATACTCAAATACACTCAGGAAGTTGTAGACAACACATTTAAAAATAGAAAAATAGAAAACTTCTTTTAGGTGAAGATAACAAAATACATGGATATATTTTCAGGGGAAGTAACTGGAAATAGCTTTGATAGGGGGGAGTGTGAATAACGAATGGACAGCTGAGAGGTTGCAGATTTAATTTAAGTTTGGTTTAGAGTTTAGACTAGCCTTCAACCCGCAGACTAGAGGCAATAACTTATTGTAATCGATAAATAAAAAAATTACAATTTAAAATCAGTTTTCAATGAAAGGGATTTAGTTTTTTTTTTCCGCGGGTCAGAATAGATTTAAAATATATTTTTAAATTAATACAATTTTTATGAAAATATAGGATGAATTAAATAATTAATATTAATAGAATATATGTAGCATACAATATTGCTCAATAATTTAAAAAAAAATGCACGCATGTATAGATTATATTATATAAGGTAAAGATAAATCCATTTATTTATAGTTAATTGCAGAATGGGTAAACATTTAAAACTATATTTGTGATGCAATGCAAATAGGTTAAATGCTGCGTGAAGAGAAGCGTTTTACTGAAATAAACATCTTAGACTGGGGGACATGCAATGGTAATTAAAATTTTAATCAAGAACCACGACGTTTCAATATACACAACTTGATGTGATTTTACATATAATCAAAGGCGGATCTACTTTTTGAAGGTAATTTGCGCGGGGGTGGTGGTTAGCTATATATAAATATATGCTTTGGTTATATATATATATATATATATATATATATATATATATATATATAAATATATATATATATATATAAATATATATATATATATATATATATATATATATATATATATATATATATATATATATATATATATATATATATATATATATATATATATATATATATATATATATATATATATATATATATACATATATATATATATATATATATATACATATATATATATATATATATGTACATATATTTATATATATATATGTACGTATATATATATATATATATATATATATATATATATATATATATATATATATATATATATATATATGTATATATATATATATATACATATATACATACATATATACATATATATGCATAAATATCTATATATATATGCGTGTATATATATATATATACGTGTTTATATATATATATATATATATATATATATATATATATATATCTATATATATATATATATATATATATATATATATATATATATATATATATATATATTTGGCTCTATAAGAGTCTCCCATAGCTAAGCATATTTACATATAGAACCATCGAGAACAGAAGACGTTATAAAAATATTATAAAAACCAACAAATAAGGAAATTTTGTGTTCGCTTTTACGAGGCCAATATTTTCCTACATTTTTTTTCCAAAAGACTTTTTGATGGAAATCCCCCTCCCTACCCCACCGGAAGTAAAAATCTAAAATTTCTTCCATTTCGAGCCTTGCAGAGTTATGCAAATTAGAATTTAACTTTTAAGTTGCGTGCAACATTGTGAAACGTAAATTTATGCCATTTTAAAACGGATTTATTTTTTCGAGACATGCAACATTTTGCCATTTATTATTTTAAGAAAGTCTAAAGGGGTCATCTGTAAATGACGTCACGCTTTTTTGACGATTTTTACCTCTCCCCTCCCCTCCGTCACACATCGTCACAAAAAGCCAGAACCCCTAATATGACGTCACACCTCAGTCTACAATCTCCCCCCCCCCCTCTCAAAGTTGCTGTTGAATTTTTCTTAAAACATCGACATTTTTCCAAAATCTTGTCAGAGCTCTGTTAACATAGAGTATTTTGATCAATTCCTATTACAATTTATTAAAACCGTTTGTAAAAACGCGAAATAACGGCTAAAACTCGTTTTCTAACATTGCTTTTTTATAATGCAAAAGTGTGACGTCACACCGTTTGAACCCCCCCTCCCCCTCATTACACAACGTCACAAAATTACGGACTCCCCTCTCCGAGTGTGACATCATTTATGGACGAGCCAAAAGTGACTACATTCTGTGATGTAGGCCTACTTTCACGTCAGTTTTACCATCAAATCACGAGTAGAGTATTTACTTTGCGAGACAAGCAATTCTGTCAGCTTGGTTTGTACAGAAAAAGGGAGACAAAACTGCTCGCTATGACTCTCCAATATGGAGAGTTAAAAATAGTGTGTGCGTCGTTTTTTATGGGGATGATATTTGTAACCAAACATCGGTTATAGTAGAATCCTCGTGCCTGAAATTAAGTTTGAAAAGTTTGTTACTCAATTTAAAATGAAATTAATTTAGACAGAAATATTTGACTATTTTAAAAATAAACATGCAATTCTTTTACCGTTAAAAGTTTGGTGAACTTATTCAAAAGTATGATGGAACCTCTTTCAGTTATGAGAATCAAAATTCTAGGCTAAGTTTAGAGTGGCGTAAGCTGTTTTTTTTAGGTAGGAGATTTCAAAGTGTAGGCCTAAGTTTGTCTGTGTGTATGTGTTTGTGTCTGTGTGTATGTCTGTATTGTGACTGATTGTGTTTCTGAGTGAGCGTCTGCTTGTGTGTCTGTTTATGTGTAGGATTGTGTGTCGGTGTGTGTGCGCATGTGTGTCTCTGTGTGAGTGTACCTGTGTGTCTGTCTGTGAGTGTGTGTATGTCACTCTATATGTACGTGTGCGAGTGTGTTTATGACTCCCTATGTATGGCTATCCGTGTTTCTGTAAGTGTATGCATGCCACTCTATATGTATGTGTGCGAGTGTGAAGTGAGCGGACGTACGGGTAGACACTTGTGTTTAGACTCGCAGCAGTCCCTGTCGTGGTTACAGAACCCCCAGAACTTGGAGCAGCATCTGTTCTTGCTGCCACACAGGAGGAGACTCTGGCACTGGTAGCTGTACAGGCACGGCTTGTGGAGGCTGCAAGACAATGGGCGTGACGTTATGGATTGGACCAATGGGAATGTAGAGTTTAAGAAAATATATTTAAAACAATTTTTTACGCTGCTTTTGTGTCTGTATGAGATTTAATGGGGACGGAGTGGTCTAGCGGTAGAGAGCTAGACTGGGCATAGTGCTGACCACACTATCTCTTCATATGCCGAGGTCACTGAAACAGGTGAACTCCACTTCACTTTGACCATCAGGTTTGAAAGGGAAACTTTTTTTATGATATTAAATATTACATAGGAAAAAAAAACAAATTATGTTATCGTTATTAGATTGCAGGTTAGGGTTGCAGTTAGTCTCATGGATATGGCCAAGTAAGAGTTAGGATTTAGGGGTCATCCATAAATGACGTCACGCTTTCTGGACGATTTTTACCTCCCCTCCCTTCCCTCCGTCACACATCGTCACAAAAAGCCAGCCCCCCCCCCCCTAAAATGACGTCACACCTCAGTCTACAACCCCCCCCCCCTCAAAATTGCAGTTGCATTTTTCTTAAAACATCGATATTTTTATCAAAATCTTGTCTGAAATCTATCAAAATAGAGTATTTTAATAAATTCCTATTACAATTTATTAGAACAGTTTTCTAAAGCGCGAACGAAATAACGTCTAAAATTCGTTTTCTAACATTGCTTTTTTATAATGCAAAAGTGTGACGTCGCATTATCTGAACCCCCCCCCCCCCCCCTCCCCCTCGTCACACACCGTCACAAAATTACGGACCCCCCTCCCCCCTACGAGTGTGACGTCATTTATGGATGACCCCTTAGCTTTAAAGTAAATAAGTTATTAACTTATGTCATCACACCTCCAATAGGTTGAGGTGGGGATGAAAGGTGGTGAACTTTGTGACGTCATTTTGACAGACGGTGTGGGTAGGCCTAATGGTTGGGTAAATTTCTTTATTTTAAAAAAATTACGTTAAGTGGCCTACAGATGATCCCAAACAGAACTAAGACATACTTGTAAGCGCGGCTACAAAATTATTTCTAGGCAAGAAATACACACACAAGTTCACAGTATTAGACGTTCTTTATAGAGCTTTCAACATTTCTTATTTTATACTCCGTAATTATCTCATTAAGTCGGCTGCTTACTATTAGTTACGTTATGTCTAGTTAGCTATTGTTACGTCCCTTGTGTTATTTACATCATAGTTATGTCCCTTGAATGTCTGGGCTCTATGTATTGTGTAGCCGTGTTGTTGATGTCAGTGAGTTTGCTATGAATGTGTCTTGATAGGATACGTGTAGTCGGAGCTGTACTGTGTATGAATAATAAAGTGTTGAAGCTAAGTGATATCGTCTACTATTATACTCCAAGTCCTACAAATCAAGTAGGCCTACTATAACACTGTTATCAATAATGTAAAACGGTTATCTGTAATATAACACTGTTATCAGTAATATAACATTGTTATCAATAATATAACATTGTTATCAGTTATATATAACACTGTTATCAGTCATGTAAAATTGTTATCAGTAATATAACACTGTTATAAGTAATATATAACACTGTTATCAGTAATATAACACAGTTATCGGTTATGTATGTAACGATGTTATCAGTAATATAACACTGTTATCAGTAATATAACACTGTTATCAGTTATATATAACACAGTTATCAGTAATATAAAATTGTTATCATATGCACAGCCTACCCCAGCTTGGTGCAGCGTGGATTCGTTCCTGAATGGGCCTCGTTACATTTTCCACTGCAGCATTCACTGTTGTCCTCACAGCTGTCATTCGGAAACTTGCAGTTAAAAGCTGGGGTTAAAAAATTGTAGTTAAAAGTTGGGGTTAAAAAAATTGTAGATAAAAGTTGGGGTTAAAAAAATTGTAGATAAAAGTTGGGGTTAAAAAGTTTATAGTCAAAAGCTGGAGTTAAAAAACTTGCAGTTAAAAGCTGGGGTTAAAAAATTTGTAGTTATAAGCTAGGGTTAGAAAAACTTGCAGTTAAAAGCTTAGGTTAAAAAAGCTTGCGTTAAATTATTGCAATTAGAATCTATGAATTAATAAACTTAAATTAACATCGAAAGTAATCATCTAAATAAAATAAAAAATATTGATAAAAGGTCATGTTTAATACATATAAATGCAAGTAATGGTAAGGGCCTGTCCAAGTGAAATATGTCCATACTAATAAAGTGATCATCAACTAAAAGATGTGAGACAAAAGATATTCACTATCATTAAATCGGTGAAATGTGAAAGCTGATTTTTGAAGCTGATTTGTAACGTAATCATATTTAAATTTTATGTCAAGTTATGTTTCATTGTTTAAATTTTATGTAAAGTTATGTTTCATTATTTCAATTGTATGTAAAGTTATGATCCATTGTTTAAATTTTATGTAAAGTTATGTTTTATTATTTAAATTTTATGTAAAATTACGATTAATTGTTTAAATTTTATGTAAAGTGTTAAGTTTCTTTATTTAAATTTTATGTAAAGTTATGTTTCATTATTTAAATTTTATGTGATGTGAGACAAAAGATATTCACTATCATTAAATCGGTGAAATGTGAACGCTGATTTTTGAAGCTGATTTGTAACGTAATCATATTTAAATTTTATGTAAAGTAATGATTCATTGTTTAAATTTTATGTAAAGTTATGTTTCATTGTTTAAATTTTATGAAAATTTATGTTTCATTATTTAAATTTTATGCAAAATTACGATTAAATGATTAAATTTTACGTAAAGTGTTAAGTTTCTTTATTTCAATTTTATGTAAAGTTATGTTTCATTGTTTAAATTTTATGACCAATTATGTTTCATTGTTTAAATTTTATGTAAAGTTATGTTTCATTGTTTAAATTTTATGTGATGTGAGACAAAAGATATTCACTATCATTAAATCGGTGAAATGTGAAAGCTGATTTTTGAAGCTGATTTGTAACGTAATCATATTTAAATTTTATGTAAAGTTATGCTTAATTGTTTAAATTGTATGTAATGTTATGTTTCATTGTTTAAATTTTATGTAAAGTTATGTTTCATTATTTAAATTTTATGTAAAATTACGATTATTTGTTTAAATGTTACGTAAAATTATGTCTCATTGTTTAAATTGTATATAAAGTTATGTTTCATTGTTTAAATTTTATGTAAAGTTATGTTTCCTTTTTTAAATTGTATGTACGGTTATGTTCCATTATTTAAATTTTATGTACGGTTATGTTTCATTATTTAAATTTTATGTAAAGTTATGTTTCATTTTGTAAATTGTATGTACGTTATGTTTCATTTTTTAAATTGTATGTACGTTATGTTTCATTTTTTAAATTGTATGTACAGTTATGTTTCATTGTTTAAATTGTATGTGCAGTTATGTTTCCTCATCCATGAAGAGGATTCCAGTGCCACCTTAATACGAATTATATTACCAAATATCAATTAACATATAGCACACTAAAACACTGAGACGCTGAAACTTTTGAAGAAATTACTTTAGAAAATATAAAAATATTTTTTTGAAAGAAAATATTTCTATTATTGAAGAATAACAAAAAAGCCCCACTTTAAAATGTTTTTAAAAATAACATAAATGTATGTTTGAATCAAAAAGATTATTCTACATTTAAAACACCTTTAGTTATCTTAAAAATAAACAAGGCCTGCATGTCTTATTCTTAAACAAAATAAAAATAATAACAAACGTTTAAAAACCATATAATTTTTTTCTAAATGCCTTCTTGATTTGCTTTAATAATTGTAACGAAACAATTAAAAAACAACATTCAATTTACGAACGCTTTGATCAAAGTTTTCACAATCCAATCTTCCTTTCTCTAGATAAACAAATCCATATTTTGTGACAGAATGTCTTCAACCTTCACTAAACTGAGATAGACGTCTTCACGATCTCCAATACAATCAAGATTGTTTTTATACTATTGATACTTTATGTGATGATTTAAAAACTGATTTACACACACTTTTTAAAAGCAAAGCGCCTTGTTATACATTGCACGTCGAAGATTTTATATCGGAAGATTTTGTGTGTATTAAAATAGCATCAATCACCGCTTTATTTAACAAAAACATAAAAAAATATCAACTTGATTTTTTTGTCAATGATGGATTCGGAAAAAAATGATTAAAATTGATGGTTTTTGTTTTTAATAAAAATATGGGATTTTGTTTGTATGTTTTTGTAGATTTTTAAAAAGCAATCGGTTAAATTGAGATAATTAAAACATGAAAGACTTTGTCTAGTGTTAAATGTTGCGGCAGTTTTATTGAGGGAAAAGGAACAGTTAGCGGAATAATCTATAGTCCTGTTTGATATTTTTGATATGTTCTAAAATTTAAATTTAACATTCGCTATTTACTAAATGGTATTTTTAAACGTATCCGGTCGTACCCCCCCCCCCAGGAAAAAAGAATAAAAAAGTTAACCCAATACCTTACACGTCATTTTAGTTGAGTCAGGCGTGTCGGGGTCGGGGTGGGGGGGGGGGGGGGTTGAAAGCGCCGACTGCTATTCCGAAAGTCGAGAACTCTTGAGCTCGGAACACGATCTGGAGTGAGTAGGACGTCACTGAGTCAACCCAGCTGTACTGGGTACCTGGCTCAGTTAGGCTTCATATCAAAGCCAGATAGTTTGTATTTGTGTAGCGATATCATGATTTACACGATTTGATACACCCTGTCGACAACTATTAAAGTGGCTGATGTATTTTTAAATTTTTTTATTATTGTTACAACACGTTTTAACCGATCGACGATTTCCTATTGCAATATTCAGGCTCTAAAACCACGGAACCCGCAATTAGTAAAGTTCATTAGTAACATGTGGGTTTCTCAATTTGGTGGCCTTAACACATGGACAAGTTACTTTGAGCAGTGTATGTAGAAATTACATTTCACATATTTCAACCATGACATTTCACATATTTCAACCATGACATTTCACACATTAAACACATTTCACATATTTCAACGTTTCAGGTGCTCTTCTAATCAACCAATCCGACCCCCAATCATTCCACATGGCATTTATTAATTACAAAATAAAAGGAATAAAGAAAACCAAAGGCATCGTTTTATAACATTAGTTTATACCACCACCTCACGTTTTAAAACACATTATAACAAAATAAAGACATTCCCAATATTTTCGGAGCTATGTTACACGTGAATGATCCCCGAAAATCTCTGTTTAATATTTTCTGACGCATTCATCTGATTTGATGAAAAAACAGCAGCAAGAAGAAAACAAGACACAAACATTAAAACGAAAGTAGGAAGCCATTTTTTTTTGCCGCGTGACGTAAATGAAACAAATAAAACAAAATAAAATAAAACGCTAAATGTCTAACAGGCGGAATACGTCGCGAATATGGCTATGTTTGGATACTTCAATTTCATTTTTAAAAACGAATGTTGATGTTAGATCTATAAACCATTAAAACAACAAACAGAGGGGGAAAAAATCAGCGTTACATTAAAAACATCAAAAAAAAACCCCATCATTCACTGAGCGGGAATACCCAGGGGAAATGGCCTGTGCTTTCATTTTAACGTAAAGCCATTTCCTTTTCCGGGAAGCAAATTAAAATCCGAATAACGACATGAAATGAGTTGTTTAATTCATGTGGCATTTGTTTTTTTTCTTTCTATAAAATAATTTGTTGTCGTTATGACAAGTGACAAGGTGGTACGATCTGAGTGTGTGGGTGTGGGGTGTTTATGAGGGGAAGTGTTTGTGGGGTAGTGGGAGTGTGTGGTATTGGGAAGTGTGTGGGATTGGGAAGTGTGTTTCTCTGTGTGTGTGTACGTGTGTGTCTAGGATGGTTGGAATAATGTGTATGTGATGGGACTGTGTGTGGGAATGTGGGGGTAGGGGAAATATATATATAAAGTGAAGTGTTTAGGGGGAAGTGTGAGTGAGGTGTGGGATATGTGATTGTGAGTAGGTTGATTGAGTGTATGTGTGTGTGTGTGTGGGAGAAATGTGTGTCGGGTGGGTAAGTGTGTGTATGTGTGGGAATGTGGGAGTGTGTGATGTTGGGAGTGTGTGTGGGAGTGAGTATTATGGTAGAGGTGTGATTGTAGGAGTGTGGTTGTAGTTAAGATGTGAGTGTGGTTTGTAGTAGAGGTGTGAGTGTGGGAGTGTGGGTTGAAGTAGAGGTGTGAGTGTGGTGTGTGGGTTGTGTGTGAGTGTGTGATGTGTGGGTTAGGGTAGAGGTGTGAGTGTGGGAGTGTGGGTTGTAGTAGAGGTGGGAGTGTGGGGGATGTGGGTTGTGTGTAAGTGTGTGATGTGTGGGTTAGGGTAGAGGTGTGAGTGTGCGAGTGTGGGTTGTAGTAGAGGTGGGAGTGTGGGGGATGTGGGTTGTGTGTAAGTGTGTGATGTGTGGGTTAGGGTAGAGGTGTGAGTGTGGGAGTGTGGGTTGTAGTAGAGGTGGGGGATGTGGGTTGTGGAGGTGTGGGTTGTAGTAGAGGTGTGAGTGTGGGAGTGTGGGTTGTAATAGAGGTGTGAGTGTGGTGTGTGGGTTGTGTGTGAGTGTGTGATGTGTGGTTTGTGGGTTGTGGTAGAAGTGTGGGTTTACCGTGACACGAGGTCCACGTCCAAAAGGCGAGGCAGGTGGCGAGGGTGATCGATGTTCTCATTCTCAACACGACGTCACAGGCATCGAATCTGTCATGGCGTGATGCAAGTCATCGATCTGATGAAGAAGGTATCGAACTTTGTTACAAGTGTCCTAGGGTGGAGGGACGACGTGGTTCAACGGTAGAGCGTTCGGCTGCTAAGCCGAAAGTCTCGAGTTCAGATCCCGGGCTCACGTTCGTAAGACGTAACTGAGTCCACCCAGCTCTGATGGGCAAAGGCACCCGGATATATAGTGCTGACCATACTATCCCCCAATATACCGAGGTCACTGAAAAAATCGAACATACCCCCCATGGACCTTGAAGTTCGAAAGGACACTTCATTCATAGAAGGGTAGGATGAATCTATCAAAGCTTGTCACTGAGCTAGTGAATAGGATAATACATTCTATTTTTGTATTTTTAGATGATTTCTCTATCAGGATCTTGAAAAAAAATGCGAAAAAATAATCAGAATTTCATGTATGTTGGTGTAAAACAGGATATTTTTTTTTTCCATTAAAACTTAGGATACAAATTTCGTCACCAGATGGCATAACTTATTTTGTCAACCTTCACCTTGAAAAAATCCTGACCCCCAGCAACCAAAAATGACGTCACAAAAATTTAAATATCTGGAGCTGCGTGGTAATTAGCATTGACAGAATCCCCGTTTATTATTTAAATAAATTGAATTCATTTAAAATGTCTCTTCCATTATAATCATTTTATCTTCAGAAATTACGGGATTTTGTCATGTATAATAGATCTTTAAATATTTTTTTAAACCCGTAAATGTATTTGCTTTAAAAAAATCTTAAATGTCACGCAGACAATTTCACATTTGTATTTACATCCCATTATTTCTCCTTGCAAATCATGTTTAATGTTTATTTCAATGGCGGCGCCATCCCATAATTTCTCCCAACAGAATTTATTAAAGATATTTTATTAAGTCGTTAAGCCATCCATTAAATTGCTCCGCAGAAACGGCGTGTGGCTATTTTTATCCAATTACAGCCATTAAGACAAAACATTAATTATTGTTTTGATTAGCTTTGTTTCCAGCATTTAATTTTTTTTCAAGACGCAAATTATAAACACAAAAGGCTTGAAACGTCTATGTAATCATACAAAATTTAAAATAAAATATTTTAAAAATATGGCAAGCGATAAAATTGTAGTTATATCTTAAAAACTTAAAGCTGTTTAGGAACCACCGATGACTCTCATTTTCATATTTTTGCATTAATTATAAGCCGTTGAAAAGCCGTTTAGAATTATTTTCTCAATTAAAATATTAAAAAAAAAAACCACCCTCAACCACTTCTGGAAGTCAACCGTAATGGCCAGGGAGAGTAAAACAAAGAATTATAGAACTGTTTTTTTTCCATCATAAAACACACAATAGTGATCTATGGTGTATAGCGTATATTGTATTTATATTAAATAATATAACATTCCATATCACCACAACACCATGACTCTACTAATCCAAGTTAAAAATAAAAGTGTTAGCTAAATTACTATTATATTACTAGTATTTATTTGTTTGATTATTTCTAGCCTTAATAAAACCGGAAGTCATTTTGCATTTATTACACAAATATTTTAAAATATTCAATTTTGGTTGAAAAATATACTTTCTGGCCAAAAAAAATTTGAACCAGATTTTCAAAACTCATGTCAACAACGCGGAAAAAAGAACTGCATTAAAATTGAGGTTTAGCATAACTTTAATAGCAACTTTAAAGAAAAAGAGATAATGTTTCTTGCAACCAATTTACTTTGATAATTGAATTTGGTTTCAGATAAAACGCGACCATATGTGGTTGATTGCTCAAGTCTTCCTATTCAACAACAATCAAATGATAGAATCACAGACGTCAGCACATTTTAGGACTAGTAGGCGTAGAATAAAAATTGATCTTCGTCGCTTTTTACAGTGATTGACGTCAGGAAAATTTATCAGCTGATGGGTACCCGCTAGAGCTGAGTAGACTCAGGGACTAGAATTCATATTGATGGGTACCCGCTAGAGCTGAGTAGAGTAAGGGACTAGAATTCATATTCTAGAGCTGAGTAGACTCAGGGACTAGAATTCATATTGATGGGTACCCGCTAGAGGTGAGTAGAGTCAGGGACTAGAATTCATACTGATGGGTACCCGCTAGAGCTGAGTAGACTCAGGGACTAGAATTCATATTGATGGGTACCCGCTAGAGCTGAGTAGACTCAGGGACTAGAATTCATATTGATGGGTACCCGCTAGAGCTGAGAAGACTCAGGGACTAGAATTCATATCGATGGGTACCCGCTAGAGCTGAGTAGACTCAGGGACTAGAATTCTTATTGATGGGTACCCGCTAGAGATGAGTAGACTCAGGGACTAGAATTCATATTGATAGGTACCCGCTAGAGCTGAGTAGACTCAGGGACTAGAATTCATATTAATGGGTACCCGCTAGAGCTGAGTAGACTCAGGGAATAGAATTCATATTGATGGGTACCCGCTAGAGCTGAGTAGACTCAGGGACTAGAATTCTTATTGATGGGTACCCGCTAGAGCTGAGTAGACTCAGGGACTAGAATTCATATTGATAGGTGCCCGCTAGAGCTGAGTAGACTCAGGGACTAGAATTCATATTGATGGGTACCTATTGAATTCATATTGATAGGTACCCATTAGAGCTGAGCAGACTTATGGACTTGAATTATGAAGAAGGGTACACGTTTTAGTAAGGTAGGCTTAAAGACTTCAATTCATATTGACCGGTGCCTATTAGAGCTGAGTTGACTCAGTGACTTAAATTTATAATGACGGATTGGGCTACCTGTTAGAACTAGCGTACACCCGGGGACTTTCTACAGACTAACTGGTATCGGTAGACTCACGACAGCCCAAACTAATCGAGAGAAGAAGTCTGAAATTCTTCGAGGAGCTTCCATTTGTCATTGTGTGCTCTACCCCTAAACCACATTAACCCTGCGACAACATCGCTCTTGATCAAGCCTTCGTTTATCATACATATTCCCCCCCTTCCCAGAAAGAATTTCATTTCTATTAAGCGTAGATGTTAAACCAAATTCCTCCCACCGAAAATAACAAAGAATAAATTCACCAGCAAATGATTTCCGTACCAGCCGGAACTCTGTTTCGGTCCCGCGAGTTTACCCATTGTGGTAGCACACGCGTAGTTTGAAATATTTAATTTAGAAAAAATTAAAAACTGGAAACCCTTGACACAACTGTCATTATTGTTGTTCTCAAGATGGTGCGTTTGTTATATACACACATTCAGAACAAAAACACAAACACAGAAACACACAAACAAGCAGCATAACGCACGCTCGCAATCGATTTTTATGAGATACCAAGTTTTAAAATTGTAGACATAGGACGACACCAGCCGTAGCTTAACGTGAGATAAACTTTCTTCATGTCCTGAGGGGAAAGGTTATAACCCCCCCCCCTCACACAGAGCTCACCAAATAAATAGATAACAATTTATATCTCTGCTGCCATGCAATGTCCTGCTGGTTAAACAGAAAATTGCGCAACGAAAAGCTGCGCAAACAGAAAAATGCGCAAATACAAATAAATTATACAAATACACTTTAATTTCATCATATTTGGTGAAAAAATGTTTTATTATGCTACAATGTACATGTGGTCGTTCTTTGCCAGTGTCTATGATCGTTCGATTTAAGAAAACAAATTCCGTTGAGCAGTTTTCCGATGCGCAATTTTCCGGTCACCGGAAAATATTTATCAGTCATTTTCTTTGGTTCCAAATTTTCCTACTTGAGATATTATGAATTTGAATTCCCTTAATCTTGATCTACTCGTTCCCCCAAAGTTTTGATAATCAGATTTAGTTTTTGTCTCGTTATAATTTTCAATTAACACCCCCTCACCTTCCACACACACACACACACACCTTCCCATCAGTCGTTTAAAAATTCAACAGTGAGTCTTTTTTTTCGAAATTTCAAAGAATAGTAAACATAAAAGATCGAGTCTACACTATCGATTTTAAATTGAATTCAGAATGACATTAACATGCTAAAAATGTTTGTGTGTTTTGAAAAAAATGATATTGATTTTTCTTGAATGCATGACTGCTTCTATTGATTTTCAAAATTAGAAATTTGCTATTCCGTCTACCAAGTGGGGGAAAAAAATCGATAATTCACGTTTGGAGGGTGGTCTTTTGTTTGTGCTAGATCTTATTAAAGTCAATGAATCGTGTGGTTGTTTGTGTGTCTGCCGGTGTGGTTGTTTGTGTTGGATTGTGTTTTTGAAATGTTTGTTTGTGTGTCGGTCTGTTTTGTTCGCTGTTTTTTTTTGTTAGTTTGTGTGGTTACTTATGTGTTGGATTGTGTGTTGGGTTATCTGTTTTAGATTGTTTGTTTGTTGGTGTGTTACTGTCTGTTTTTTTGTGTGTTAGTTTGTGTGTTGGGTTGTGTGTTTTATATTTTGTTTGTTTGTTTGTGTGTTGGTTTGTGTTGTCTGTCGGATTTTTGTGTGTGTTGGTTTGTTGGATGTTTGTTTTTTATTGTCTGTGTGATTGTCTGCGTGATTGTCTGTGTTGATGCTTTGTGACTGTGAGCTTGTGAGTGGCTGTTGCTGTGTTATAGAGTGTTTCTACTTTGTGTGTGTATTAGTATGTATGTTTATTTATTAGTTTGTTAGATTAATTGGTTGCTACATTGATAGATAAATGTTACAGTTTTAGGTTCTTTGATTTCTTTTTCTTTAAAAAAAATTATTCTCCGCTTGTTTGTTTGTTTGTCCTAGAGTCTTTATAGAGTACAATGTACATCCGTATGACACGCTGCCCCTGCTGTGTTTTATTAGCATGTCATTTATGTCATGTGTCATCACCTGATGACATCCCTGTGTGTCTAGAACAAAATGACATTCACAGAAATCATAGATCAATATCCTACATCCAAAAAATGCATTGAAGTAATTTTGTTTTACCTAGCTCAGTCTTGCGGATATTTTATTCATAGCTTTGTAAAAATACAAGTTTCTATTTTTTTTAAGAATTATATTTTGAAGCGGATTTAA